TATCTTGCAGCTTTAGAACTGGGAGCCAAAGTGAACCTCTTTTCCTTGTAAAGTTGGTCTGCTTGGGTATCGTGTTATAGTCGTGATAAGCTGACATACATCCCAGTAACAGCGAACATATCCTATGTGCAGATCTTGCTTTGTAAGTACCATTTTCCGCTAAGAGGAGCTAGGGTTCTTTGGAGAGATGGCTGGTTCCTAGGCTGCAGCAGGAAGAAGCACAAGATGAGCCTGGAGCATCTTGTAGTGCCCATAAGTAAGGGTATGACTGAAAAACAGAAAGAGGGGGCATGCATTTGGCAGAGCAGTCGAATCGCCATTTGGGATGCCAGCATCCCATGTCAGAGTGCCTGCTTTCACTCTCAGCTACTCACTCTGCTTCTGATGCAGCTTTCTGCTAACGTGCACCCTGGAAGGCAGCAGATAACGGCTCAAGTACTTGGGTCCTTGCCACCGACATGGGAAACTGACCCGGATTGAGTTCCCAGCTCTTGGCTTCAGCCTGGCCCAGCTTTGGCTGTTGGGAACATTTGAGGAGAGAACCAGCATGTGGAAGATCCATCTCTCTCTGTCTGCCTTTTGAAAAAAAAAATAAAAAAAGAATTAGAAATAAAGAAAAACAGAAGGATGGATAGGCCATGGCAAAACAACACAGGAACCAGTCTGAAAGAATAAGCATTAGAACAACTTGAGCACTCAAAAAGATATTAGACCTTTTGGACAGGAGTAAAACTGGGAGTGAGCATGAGGGTGGTTCTCTCGTGCTGGCAATGTTCTGCACTGTGATGTGTGCATGGGTGTGCTCACTTTGCAAATCTACTGAGCTGTACACATGATTTATGCACATTACTCTACGCATAGTCCAATAGAAAATTAGGCCAAAAATGACAATCTTGGATTCTCAGTTGTTGAGTAAACATGAGTTTGTGATCAAGAAGAGAACAGAGTAAAAGGAATGCTCTTTATAGTGAAGTGACAACAAAGCAGTGTAGAAAGCAAGCCCAGAAAATCACCATTTTGCAATCACCAATAAACTAATTGATTAAGTTCCCAATTTTTTTTTTTTACAGATTTAGACAGTGAGAGAGAGACAGAGAGAGAGAGAGAAAGGTCTTCCTTTCCATTGGTTCACCCCCCAAATGGCCGCTATGGCCGGTGTGTTGTGGTTGGTGCGCTGTGCCGATCTGAAGCCAGGAGCCAGGTGCTTCTCCTGGTCTCCTGTGTGGGTGCAGGGCCCAAGGACCTGGGTCATCCTCCACTGCACTCCCGGGCCACAGCAGAGAGCTGGCCTGGAAGAGGAGCAGCTGGGACAGAATCCGGCGTCGCAGGCAGAGGATTAGCCAAGTGAGCCGTGGCACCGGCCCCCAGTTTTTAATAACTGGTTGAGGCACAGGTCACCAGCAGATGGTGAGACCATCATAAAGGCTGTCGGGGAGCAGAGTATTCATGAAATCTCCAAGCATTAGGCACTTCCCTTGTGAACAACTTTGCAAGGGGCCATCTGGTGGCCAGCACCTTACAGCCCCAGCAGGGAACAGCCCGATGCCATTGGAAGGGGTGTGGGCAGGGAGGACACAGCATCAAGGCTCAGGGCCCTCAAAGACTGTTGGTGTCTGATCGCCTGTGGAGAAGGGTGAGTGGGAGACAGAGCACGCCTCCCATATCCCACCGTCCTAGCTGCTGCTTTCTCTGCCAACTGCACCTTGCCAGGCAACCTGCTGGAACTAGTGAGGCCGTGCTGGATGCCTGCAAGGTGCCAGCCGATGGTGAGCACCTAGACTCCATGGGCCCTGCCACAGTGCACACCCTGGAGGCCTTGCAGGCCGCCAGGACACTTGGTTTGGAGAGGCTGCTCATCTGGGCCCTCTGAGATCAGACTTTGTTGCTGGGGATTCCAGGACTGTCCCAGGGACCCTCCCCAAGGGCTCTGCATGGGGCAGGGGGTGCCATCTCTAGAGGTAGATATGCGACCTGCAGCGGCAGGGTGCCTGCTGTAACCACGCCAGCCTTTCGCGGAGGATCTCAGTATTTGGGGCTGCAGGTGTGCATGGCTCCCCTGACTCTGGGGAGGGAAGCCTGTGCCACCTTTCTGCCTTTGCTTCCCATGGCACCTCCCCGGCCTGCTGAACTCCAGCGACACCCACTCCCACCCCACCCCCGAGCCCCACACAACACAGGCTTCTTGGAGCGTGAGGGCCCTGGTCAGCACCACTGCCTCCTCGTCGTCTTCGGGTCCTCTCCCCTCAGCGTCAGCAGCGGCCCCGTGGTTACTAGTTCTGCCCCCGCTGCACCTCTGGGTGGAAGGTGGCAGCCTCCACACCTGCAGTTGTTGAAGGTCCTCAGCACTCATCCTGTGCCCTCTTTTCACGCCACTCTCGGGGAAAACAGCTCATCTAACCTCACGGCTTCTAGGACTTCCTGCCCGCAGATGACTGCTGGACACGGCTTGTCGTTAGGACTTCGGACTGGACTACAGCCAGATTCAAGTGCTGACTCTCCATTTCCCAGCAGATGGCAGCTATGCGAGGCTGAAGTGAGACAACTCTGCACAGGAAGGACTTGGAACCGTGCGATGTTATCTACCAAGTGGCACCTAGTCTTCCTTTTAGCTTTTTTCTGATCACTTGCATCAGTGAGGCCCTGGCAACCACCCTGAAGAGTCCTCACGCCTCCATGGCTGTGTCCAAGCCCACGTTCCCTCTGAGCTCTCCCCACCCATGTTCAACCATCCAGCAGATGGCCACCACCGAGCTTTTCCAAAGGTGACAAAACCACATCTGGCCACTCTTTCCCAGGCTCCCCCTGGAGGCGGCAGGAACCCCCCTGCGTGGTCCGCACCCCACAGGCAGCCACTCACCACACTTGCCAACCATACAGACAGTGCACCGGGAAAGCTGTCTCCTCCCTGGCCCAGCTCAGTCTCCTGACCACCTGACATGCAACCTGTCACCCTCCGAGCGGGAAGGCACTGGCATAACGAACTCAACAACCTTCTCGTGAGTCTCTCGTTGCCTGTTTGGGGGCAGTGAGTTCCTGTCAGAGGTACAAACGCTGAAGACACACACCACGGTGCCTCAGAAAACGCTTCCCCTCGCATGAGCTCGCTCCCTCCAGCCCTTCCTCTTTCACTACCTGCAACGTGGTCGGCATCTTTCCGACGCACGAGTGCTCCCAGCAGTGGACAGCTGCTGTTTGTAGCCACCATTCTGCTCTCCTCCACAACCTCCTCCTCCCTCTTGTGGCCCATCTGTGTCCACCGAACCGGCTCCATGTCCAGCCCCAGGGGCAGCCTGATAGGATGCTAACCCTCACCCAAGATTGCACCCCCACCAAAAGATTGGACGCACCATCCAGTTCTGACCAATGAGATGACAGTGTTTATTTGCTGGGGACATCTGAGACAGAAGCTGCAGGAGAGAAGGTGCTCCTCAGTGCGGGCTGCGAACCAGGGCTTCCATGGAAGTAGCAGGCAGCCATTTTTCAATCCTTGGAGGTAGCGGCCTGAGATGAAGCAGATAGCGGGAAACGCAGAGGGAGGCAAGAAGAAACTCGGTAGTTGGGGAAACTACCCAGCCACGGCCAGTACTTCTGGGTTTTTCAGTTTCAGAAGCCAGCAAGTTTCCATAATTGACAGAACCAATTCCCTTTAGTATTAAACCAACCATCGGAAACCCAAAGCCGTCTAGCTATCATGGTTCCTTCTGGTGCAAAAGAAGTTTCCCGACTCAGAATAAATGAGAGCAGTGCTAAGTTTATGCTCTGAGTGACCAGACCAGAATTCTCCTAAATGGAGCCCTGTGGCTTGAGACCCCCAGAGGTTTTTGGCTGCTCTTCAAAGCGTTCACCCGTCAGGCCTCTGTCCATTCTTCCAGCCTGGGGACCGAGTGTCGGCCCCATGAGGCCCGGGAGGCAGGTGCAGCCCTGTGCACGCTGAGCGCCACTCCACTGTCCCAGGGGTCCTCCTCCAGGGAGCAGGTGATCAGACACCCTGCAGCGCATCTGGGCAGGGTGAGAGAGGAGCTAGTGCCACCAGCACACACCTCTGTGCCCTCCCCAGCAACCTGAGTTTTCCTCTCTGACAGGGAGGGCCATGCAAAGTGAAAGCCTTGGCACCCCAGTGAGGGGGAAGCATCTGTTTACCTTCCAGGCTGTGGGCGACTCCTAGCTGTGACACTGCCTTGCTAAGTCACATGCCAGATCCTAATGGGCGTGAATGACCCACTTCCAGGAGTTGAACAGACAGCATGCCCCAAAGAAGAGCTGTGTCACCAAGGCCTAGGACACCACATCTCGGGCCACTGTGTCATTTTTGGCTTCAGTTTGTTTATTGAACACAAGGAGAGGAGCACTACACAGACTCCTGCCCCGGGCTGGGGTAAGGATGAAGGAACTGGATTCAGGTTGGAGGGCTGGCCCTCACTGTACAGAGTCGGTGGCTGGGGAACCAAAATGGCAGCGTGCCTTGCCCAAGGTGACACCACCAAGCTGGGGTAACTTTGCAGCTCCCAGGCTCCCAACCTGCCTTTCCTTCATCAAGAGCAGCCGAGGGAGCCCAGGGCCGCCTGCCCCTTGGCGTCCTGTGAAGGTGAGCCGAGGGCTCTGCTGGACCCAGCAGGGGTCGGGTAACAGGCCTGGGCGGCAGGGGCCAGGCTTGGCAAGGCCTCATTGAAAAGCTGATTCTCAGTGGGCTCAATGTGAAACGCCACAGCCCGTGCTTCCAAACAGCCCCTTTCTCCTCACAGTGAGGCACCGCTGGGAGCTGGCTGGACTGCGATCCCGGCTCCCCACTTCATCGCTAGGGGCCTCCACTGTGCTGTCTCACCTCTTCTGCAGGGTGTGGGAGCGAGCCCAGGCCGAGTACTTTGAGCAGTGCCTAGCACCTAGCAAGAGCCAGGTCCGTGGGAGCTACTATTGTCATGAGCCAAACTGCGACATGAGAACACATTTAATGCACATGCAGCTGTGGCCCGGCCTCGGGTCCTCCCCACGGTCCACGAGTGCTATTTGGAAAGGCCCTTCTCCATAGCCTCAGTCCCTTCAGGGTGCAGGAAGCGGCTGGCCAAGCGCTCGATGTCATCCAGGGTCAAGCGGCTCAGGGACCTCTCATAATCCTGAGGAGAGAAGGCCAGGAGGGCTCAGGGGGTGCCAGTGGGGGAGGGGACACTGTGACAGAGGCGCCTAGGGGCTGGGAGCAGCTGGGACTGGAGCGGAAGTCCAGGGCTACCCTTCTCACCCTCTGTAGTTGTTCCAGGACCCTGCTGGCATCGGCTGCGCTGAAGTGGCGGGCCAGGACTTTGGAGATCAGATGCCAGACGGGCGGGGGTGGTGAGTCGGCCAGTCTCCGGGCAGTGCCCTCCGCCAGTAACACCTTCTCCAGAGGTTTGACCACTAGGTTCAGCTTGGAATTGGGTCCGATGCTGTAATCCGACAGTCGTTTCCCATCTGCCAAAGAAAAATCGGTGGGGTTTCTTACCCACGGCTGCAGCGGTGGCGGGGGGAACCGACGATGTAGCATCTGGCTCTGGTGGATTCAGCCACCTCTGCGAAGGCCAAGCTGTACTTGGCAGGGGCGTCGGCGCGCTGCTACCCGGGCTCGGCCTGCGTATCCGTCCCCCAACTTCCTGCGGGGATCCCTGGGCGTCTCCTCTCCCTGGTTTACCTGCCAGGGCCTTGCCCTTGAACAGCAGCCTTTGCTGGCGCACGGGGACGTTCAGCTTCTCGGAGACCAGCTGCTTAAGCGTGGACACCTGCTCGTCCTCCGGCACCTGAGCGGGCCGAGGGTGGGAGGCAGGGGTTGAGTCCGCGACCCAGGGCGTCAGAGCCCTCGCGTCCCCCTCCTGAGCGCAGCTCTCCCGGCCTCCCCGACCTGGCTGGCCCGCCCGTCCCATTCCCGCCCTCGGCCCTGTTCCAAGAGGGCGTGAATGCGCAAGCCCGGCACAGTGGTCCGGGCCTGGTGGTGACCCTACCTGCAGGTTGCACTCGCGGCCCTGGAGCGCCTTCACAGTCAGCTGCATGGCGGCCACGGCGGCGTCCACTAGGGCCGGCGCGCACCCCTTCGGCCCCCCACCGCGCGCCGCCGCCCCGGGCGCGCGCCGGAACCGCCCGCCGCCGCCGGAAGCGGCGCGGGGCGCGCCCGCCGCCCGCGCGACCTGGCCCCGCCCCCAGGGCGCGCCTCGCCCCACCTCCCGGTCCCGCCTCCAGCTCGCGCCTGGTCACCCACGACACACGCTAGCCCCTCCGTGCCGCCTCGGGCCGGCGCCCCAGGAGGAGGGGTCGCCTTGGGGTCCCGCCTAGCAAACACGGGGGAAACGCCCAGGCTGACGGATTCTGCCCCCAGCCCCCAACCCCGCCCCACCCCGCTGGCCACGGTACGGGGAAAGCAGCCGGTTCAGACTTCCAGAACTGGGAGAAGAAACGAGTTGGGACAGGTTTGCTTCATCTGGGAACACAGGCTAGGGAAAAGGACGGGCCAGGAGGCGCACTCGCCCCCGCGGACAGCCAGGCCCGCCCTCAATTCCCAGCCTGCTGGTGGAGCAGGTCGATGCAAACCCCGATTCTCTGGTTCTCGGCGAGTCCAAGCATGACCCAGTGCTGCCAGGCTTGCCCCACTGCCTGATGTCTTCCTGTCTCCTTGTCTCCCAGACTATATAGCTGCAAAAACCCATCGGTGCCTCGCAGCAGGCAGGGGAACCAGCCAGGCCCACTTCTCAGAGGTAGGGGGCACACGGTGCGCTGTCACCCAAGTCGGCCCTCCTCCCTGGCCCACAGCTACCCAGGTCCCAAAGGACAAAGATTGGAAGGGACCCAGGCTCGTTTCTCTCTTTTATTGAAATATATTTTCTGGGCAGTGCCCATCTACCTAATTCAGCATGGCCTCTTTGGCACTGAAAGCTGGAGAATAAAAAAATCAGTAAAAAAAATAAGCCTGGATTTTTCAGAGTGCATAGTGCATGAGAACTAAAGGCCTTTGGTACACAAGAACAGTGGGGATGGTGGAGTACAGGGGCTGGGGGTGAACAAAGCTTGACCCAGGAGCCTCAAGTCACTGAGGACAGGCTGCTGTAGATGAAGTGGCCAATGACCAAGGCTAACATCTCGGAGGTGCCACTCAGCGCCACGATAAAGGGGGCCTGGGAGGCATAGTCGGCTTGCAGGCGGCGGAGGGACAGCTGCAGCATGGCCAGGGCTAGCAGGCTGTTTTGCACCCCTACCTCAATGCTGACTGTCCGCCGCTGGGCCACCGGCAGCTTCATACATGTGGCCAGGCAGTAGCCCACCAAGAGGCCAACCAGCGGCACTGTGAGGCCCACCAGTACGATGGGTAGCCTGACACCTGCCAGGATGAAGACCCCCATGCGATAGGCCAGGAAGAGGCCCCCCAGCAGCAGCACAAAGCTGAAGGGCTTGATGACCTGCAGCAGCAGCTGGGAGAACTTGGGGAGCTTGGACTTGATCACCACACCTGCTGCTATGGGGATGGCGATGAACAGCAGGGTACCCAGGATCTTGGACATGGGCACATGGAGTGTTTCATGGATGCTGAGCAGGTGGCTGTAGATGGCTGAGGACAGCGGCAGGAAACCAGTGGCGGCCACCGTTGATATGAAAGTCATGGAGATGGCCAAGGTGACATCGCCTCCGAGAAGGAGGCTGAAGAGGTAGCTTCCCCCACCGCCAGGAGATGAGCAGGTGATGATGAGGCCCAGAGCCAGGGCCTTGGGCAGCATGAAGACTTTGGCCATCAGGAACGCGTAGAAGGGCATGACCAGAAACTGGCCCAGGAGGCCCAGCAGCACGGGCTGGGGGCTCTGCATGAGCCCCTTCAGAACCTCCAGTTCCACTTTGCAGCCAAATGAACACTTGTTCACGAAGATAAGCGGCAAGAGCAGGTAGAGTATTGGGTTCTCCGAGAAGTGAGCCTGCTCAGCGCCAAGGGTGGCCGGGGCATCTTCAGCAGGTGAGACCTTGATGCAGAAATCTCTCCGCTCCTCAATCAGTGTGGGGGGCGCCTTGTGCGGGTCCACGAGCTGAATGTGGAGCGGGGCCAGCCCGGCCAGGCCAGAGTGGATGCTTACCACAAAGCCACCCCCACTGCCCCAGTTAATGGCACTCACATTCTTGATGGTCAGCACCTCTGTGTCCAGGGATGTGACCCGCAGTGTGGGGCCAAGCCCTGTCCCATTGGCCTGGCCCGGGTACTGGCTCGAGATCACAATGATGCCCTCGCTCTCCTCGGGGAACTCGAACTCCATCACAGAGCCGTCCCCAATGCTCAGGTAGCGGCCCTCGGTCAGTGGCATGGTGTGGCCCAGGGCTGTGCTGCCACGGGCACCCCATAGCAGGCCGGCGAGCAGCAGGACAGCTCTGAGCAGGTCTAGGGAGCCAGGCCAATGCTGGCAGCCACCTCTGCCCCTCCTTAATAGCATGGCTCTTCCCGGAGGACAGTGTGCCCAGGCCCTTGGCGGCTTAGGAGGGCATCCCTGCCAGTCCCACCGTGTTGTCTTGAGGAGGGTCCATGGGCCGGTCCTGGTCCTGTGCTGCCCTTCTTATTGGCAGAGCTCTCCCTGGGGACAGAAGTGACACAGAAAGGAGGCTGGTGAGGATGAGCAGGTGGGAGCCCAGGAGCACAGGGATCTAGAAGTGCACGTGACAGAAGACTGGGCAGGGCCCCTTGCCCCAAGTCTGGCCGTGGAAAGGCAGTGACTAGTGCTGGCCCTTGAGTGCCATTTGGCTGTCCCCTCTGCCACCAAAATTGCCTCTTCTAAAGGGGTCACTTACACAGAAGCGTTCCCATGCAGCTGCCCTGCCTGCTGATTTCCCTGAGTTTGCCCATCACGGTGACCTTGCAGTGATGTGCTAACACCAAGGGATTCGGGAGTGCCATCCCCGCTGGCTTCGGGATGCCGCTACAGCGGGGCTGCGGGATACCACAGTGGGGGCAGCAAGAACTGCTGGATGAGAACAAAAGGTGCTAATGGGGAAGAGAGACTTGAGCCAGCCCCAGAGAGCAGATCTGGGGGTTTCGGTGTCATCTGGCAGGTGCAAGATGGTTGGCGAAGCTGTGTGAGCAGTGGGTAGCCACTGTGCCACAGGCCCCGGGGGTGGATGTTTGCCCCCAACACAGGGTTGGGAACAGTGCTGCTCTGGTTCCCTACAGTGATGACATGGAGGTCCTGGGGGGCAGCGAGCAGGAAGGAGCAGCAGGAGTGAGTCAGGTCAAAGCACATGGCCACTGCAGTAGGAGGGCTTTTCCTCCTGTCAGAGAAATGGCCAGAGAAATGGCTGCTCCCAGATTTCGAGTGCCTAGGCCTTCTTTGCTACACCGGAGAGACCCTGCTCGGGCTCCAGAGTGCCCTCCCACCTCACATGTGGCCCTGCAGGGCCTTACAAGCTCAGCGGGACTGCCAGCATTTCTAGGGGGCGGGTGCCTTGGAGAAAGGAGGAGGTTCACCTCTTCCCGCTTTTCAGTTCGGGCAGCCATCAGCCTCCTGTCTCATCATGTGCTAGAAGTGGGGCGACCAAGCTGAGGATACAGGAGTTTACATCACTCCTGGCAGGTGCCTCATGCCCTGTAATGTCCTGGTTTTGGAAGAAGCCCCTGCCTCTCTACAGCCGATCAGTTGCAGCCGCCGTTGGCCTTGGCCCTTCCTCACCTGAGACCGGGGTAGAGGGCAGGTTAAGCAGGGGGCCTATCCTTTGGAGAGTTTCCCCTGTCCCTAACCCAGGATGACATGGCCTCTGCTGGCTTGCAGTTTGGGTCACTTACCCTGGAGGCCTGATCCAGCCTGGTGTCTCACTGCTGAAGAGGGAGCCCGGGAAACCAGAGTGGGGAAGAAGCAAAGTGCAGGGAGAAAGACGAAGGCACCAGGACTGAAGCCACCAAGGTGGTGTGAACCGGTTCAGAAGGGAGAGGCTAAGGGCCATCCACCCCATAACCAATCTTTCCAGAGGGGCTGGCGGCTTTGAGTCCCAGCGGCGGGGTGGCTGAGATCCCTCACCATGTCTGCCTGAGGGGCCTGAAGAGTTTGAGCAGATGCATCCCAAGGCATAAGAGGGAATTCCCGCCCCGATGCTTTCTCCACACAAGCCGGCCGAATGTTCGGGCTTAGGGTAACTGCCGGAGTCCGGAAGATCTGAGGTGGGGCAGGAGCTGGGGGTGGGAAGGGAGAGCGGGTCGCCGTCCTGCAGCTGGCAAGCTGGCGATCCGGCCGGGCGCTCTCGGGGTCGGGAGGCTCCCTCGCGTCACTCCCGGGCCCTGTAGCCGTGCCAGGCCTCTCGACGCGCGGCGGCCCTCCCCTGCCGGGCCCGGCCGAGCTGGACGCCCGAGCGGGCGATCGCGATGCGGGGCCAGGGCCAGAGGCCGCCTCCCGCCTGCCCCTTCCCGGCCACAGGTTCTCACCTGCCGCCGCGGCCGCGAAGCCTGAGACCAGAGCCTGCCGGGGCCGGCCGAAACCCGCGAGCTTGGCCCGCCGGGGCACCGCCCCACTCGCCGAGGCCCCGCCCATTCCCGCCCCGCGCGGGTGCCGCCCCGCGCGTCAGGGCTCCTCCCTCTCGCGACGGCCTCCTCACCTCCGGTGGCTGCGTAGGGTTCAGACCGGAAGTGACGTTTCTGGGAACCATGAGCCGCGGCGGGCGTGCCGGGAGGCGGCTTCTTGAGTCGTGGTTGGTGAGGCGCGTCCTCAGTCTGGCTGTGGCTGCGGGTCAAACCTGTGCCCACTGCCGGCTTGATTCCGTTCCGAGAGAGGGCCCCGAACACTCCCGACTACGCTGTGACCTCGGGACAGTGAGACACTCGGCCAGCCGCCAGGGCTGGGACGCCCACGGGCTGCCGCTAGGGACGGGAGCCTTGCGTGCGTTAGGGTTCTGGGCACGCTGATGTTTAGGGTCGAGTTCCCACTGCTTTGGTGAGATTGACTCAGCGCCTATTTCCATACTGTTCAACATTAAGTGCACTCGCCCCTCGTTCACCAGGGCTTGGCGCCACCAGCAGAGGGACTGGAGGCTTTGCAGAAATGAAATGGAAAGGGGAGGGGGCGGTGCAGAAAAGATGTCGAAAGGCAGTAAAAAATGCAGGGTTAAACGGGATTTGGATGTTCTCCAGAGTTGTGGGGCAACACGCTCCGTCTACACTTCTCTGAAAAAAAAAAAAAAAAAAAACAACCCTCCCGTTTCGCTGTGATGGGGATGCCTGGCGGGCGCCCATAGTACTACTTAATTTTTCAATAATCATAATAGTCAATTTATGTTTACATGTTCTTTTTTACTGGCGCTGCGGGATGGGGAGATGGGTGTCTTAACTGCATGACGGGATCTGGGTTCCATTTGCCGGCGCCAGCGCCTAACTCCAACTTCTGACTAATGCAGACACTGCGAGGCAGCGATGATGGGGCAATTGTCTGGGTTCCTGCCACCCACAGGGAGGACTTCTCTCCAGTCCACTCTCCTCCCCTCCTCGGGCCTCAGGTTAAAAAAAGAAAAAAAAAAAAAAAAAGGAGCACTTAACAGCTAGCACAGGCGAGAGGGCCGAGTTTGGGATAAAACTGAGAAGGGTGTGTCAGCTGCAAGAGCCAGCGAAGGAAAACCTAAAAGATGTGGTATCCTTGCAGGAAATCTGAATTTGCATATTCCAACTGCCTCTCCTCTTGGGCCTGCCTGAGGGTCCAGTGAAATTCACCTGGAAGGACCTGGCCACTTGAAAGCCACCAATCTGTTGGGTGCCAGTCAGTCAATGACATCAGCCTTCCCTAAAAGGGCACAGTGGGCTGGAGGCATGTCTGACATGAAGAATTCCCTGGCTTTGTCTGCAGAAAAAAGGGAAAAAAATTAAAAGCGAGATAATGTTCATAGTTTGTTTGGGAGGTTAATAATTTATCTCAGAAGAGAATGAGTAAGGGAGGCACAGACTAGGCATGCAAAGAGAAGGCATAAAAGAGAAGTCATGTGGACTAAGAACAGATAGAACCAATAATAGCAACAGCTTGGACAACACAGATGCGCTTCAGCTCGGAACCCTGATGTTGGGCAGGCAAAAGTTAACGGCTGCTCCTACTCGCCCCTGCAAATGCTGGATGGGACGTGGGTATCCCAAGAGGGGTCTTAATGGCTGTGCCAAATGCCCACCCCTAAACTTGTCATTCCACTTTCCATGAATTTTGTGAAGTAGCTTCATATTATTATTGCCCCCCACGTGAGACAGGATGTTGGCAAATGCAAACGCGGATTTACTGGAGTTGAAATCACATGAAGGCTTTGGGGTAGGAACAATCAAGACCCCTCCTCTTTTTGCTTATGCTACTTTGAGTTTGGATTCTGGCCCTGGTAACTGAAGATGACGTCCTAATTGCAAAAGGGTAGGTGTGGCACAGGGGTGGTGGGGCGGAGCTGCGGATAAAGCCACTTGCTGCTTTCATCTGGGATGGTGGCGACCCTCAGCACCGGCACACCCCCACAGCGGCTGGGGCTGGGCCAGTGGCTCACTCCTGCATCCCGAGCATACAGCACAATGTGTAGCCCGATGCAAGCACCTGATAAATGCATGTTGGGTGAACAAGAGAACTGAATGATCCAAGGGAGGAAGGTCAGGCCATCACAGGCATGGTCTGAGAGGCACAGTGGAGTCCATGCCCCTCCCAGGCTTGGGGTGTTCTGGGAAGTGGCATCACTTTGGGGCAAGCTACGAATGTGGACTTCTGGCTCCTTTCCTCCGGTCTCTAGGACCTTGACTATTCTGTGTAAGAGGGATCGTGGCAGTACTTACAGCTAGCGTTGTTTGAGGACTTGTAGGAAACCTGTGCCTAACTGAACTATTGATGGGAGAACTCAGTTATTTGCTTCAGCATGTGGGGGCTGTGGTGGGTACAGGTGAGTGCCATGGAAGGTGCATGACGAGCACATTGGAACCATTCTCTCTGCTTTTGGAAATGCTTCAAATTTCCCATAAGGAGAGGTTTAAAAAATGAATGCATACATATGACCATCGTGGATACAGGCCATTAAACAATTTTGTCGAAACTCCTAGAATGTACGCCCAGAGTGAACCTCAAAGGCAATGATGGGCTTTGGGTGATAAGGAAGCAGACAGTTGGAGCTTCACTGATTGTAAGAAACGGGAGATTTGGGAGCTAGGGGGTCTCTGGGGGAGCTCTGTGCTTTTTGCTCAACAGATAGAGTGCTTGGCATGGGGCCAGGACTGGCTGGTGGCTGCTGGGCCATCCTCACGTTTCTTGCATGGCCCTTACAGGTGGCATCACACTCGCTTTGTCCCTGGCCCCTTGTCCTGGACACCCCATGGCTCTAACTCCACATCCTGCCACTCTGGCACTTAACTCAGCTTTTAGTGGTTCTCGCTTGATAAAGAGCATTTGACTGTGGGGCCAGTGCCATGGCACACCAGGTTAATCCTCCGCCTGTGGCGCTGGCATCCCATATGGGTGCTGGTTCTAGTCCCGGTTGCTCTTCCAGTCTAGCTCTCTGCTGTGGCCTGGGAAAGTGGTGCAAGATGGCCCAAGTGCTTGGGCCCCTGCACCCGAATGGGAGACCAGGAGGAAGCACCTGGCTCCTGGATTCAGATGGGCACAGCTCCGGCCATTGCAGCCATTTGGGGAGTGAACCAATGGAGGGAAGACCTTTCTCTCTCTCTCTCTCACTGCCTGTAACTCTGCCTGTCAAATAAATAAAAAAATTTTTTTAAAAAGAGCATTTGACTCCAACCCAAGCGAAACCCCAAATGACCCACGCAACTCACCCTTTGCATCCCCAACTCCAAAGGCAGCCAGAGTCTGTGGGAAACACAGTTGCCCTACAGGCCTGTGCTCAGAGGGTGAGTTTGCTGCACTCTCAGGGCGTACAACCATCTCTCCTGGATAAGGCTATGTGATACCAGCTGCAGACCCAGGGTAGGGCCTGCCGCCTGCAGGGAGGCCGGAGACAAAGGCTGGCTGTGGAAGGCAGTGGAGGCTGAGCTGCTGACATCTGCCCCTCCTCCCCAGAGCACCACCCCGACTCTCCACTGATGACATCTGAATCCACTTTATTCCGCTGAGGGCCAAGAATTTATTAAGAGGTCATCTAGAAGGCAAGCCCTCTGACAAAGCACAGAAGCCACCCCACGTGGTGTGATCAGGCTCAGGCTACCTCTCCATCTCAGGTGGAGGATGAGGCAGGAGGCAGCCTGCACTTGGGCTTTCAGAAGTGGCCACCAGGTATGGCTCACAGGGCGGACTCGTTCTGGAAGTACATCCAGCCTGCACTGCTGGGAGGTTCCAGAAGATGCTCTAGCCTGCCAGGTAGCCGCTAGCCACCTCATCCAGGGAGAGGGGTGAGCACCCAGGGCCCCTCCAGGCAGGAGGGGCCCAGGAGGAAAGGGGGCCTGGGGCCTCATCAGGGAAGCAGCTCTAAGAAAAGGAGGCGACAGCTACCTGGGTTCCCATGACAAAGTGCAATGGGGCCAGCCCCTGCAACCTCACGTTGTGCGTCCAAGATATGGTGCCATCTCGGAGTCCGATGTGCTGGGGTCAGGGAATGTTCTTGCCTCACTGTGAGGCACGGGGCAGGTGCCTCGGCCCTGTGCTGGCAGCGCTGGTGGCGTCTCGCCCCTTGAGCCTGGCATGCCACGCTAGCTGGCCATGCTCCTCCGCGGGATGCAGCCCTCCATCTCCAGCGCCTCGGGCCAGCCCTCATACTTGTTGGTGTGTTTACTGTTCTTCACATGCTGTGGGCGGGAGAGCAGGATGTCATGGGCTAGCCCCTGGGGACAGGAACAGCAGCAGGCCAGGGCCCAGGCTTGCTATTGCCTTGTGCCGGGTGATCAACTTCAAGCGGAGGGGAGGGGGCGTGTACCCTGCCCCCACTGGCCCGCACGGAATTGCTAGAAGCCGCAGCAAGCACAAGGCCCGGTGGGGGCGACGGGGGTATTGAGCTGTTCTTTGGGCAGTCAGAGCAGCTTGCTTGTGTGTCATGGAGGCCCAGGCTTGGTGAGGCAGGAGCCTCTCCAAGGTGAAGATGGTGCCCGGGCTCCCCTCTTGCCCAGCCTGCAGCACAGAGCCTGCCACATGTGGTCTGTGGCAGAGGGCAGTGCAGGCTGGCGGCAGGAGGGTGTGCAGTGGGAAGCAGAGATGCTGGGGTCTGGGAGGACCGGGAAAAGCCTAAGCATCTTGAAGACACTGGGGAGGAAGGTCTCCTAGCTGTTGAGTGTTGCCAGTCTGAAAGTGCTGCCGTTTACAGACCCTATAGGATAAAATACATAGAGGGCAGCGAAGGCCAATGTTACCTACCCCCAACGCCAAGAGCAAGGGGGCCAAGGGCCACCAGTGGAGGGGTGGTGGCACAGGGCTCCTGCTGTGCTGTGAAGAGACAGAGCCTGGGGCTGGGAGGCTAAACTGCTGGGCTTCCCACTGTACCTGCTCAAAGGGGCTCTTGTTCTGCACGCCCTTGGCCCCCACAAACACCCAGCTGTCCCGGAAAGCTAGCTCCTTGGCATTCCTGCTGCCCAGCTCGCTGAAAAGCTTCCTGGTCTCTTCGTTCATCCTGTGCACAGAAGGAAGAAACGTGAGCTGTCACCGGAGAGGGGCGAAGCTGAGGCCGGCCTGGGCAGTCACTTACTTGGTGGCTGGGTCGTCGTAGGATGCTACAAACACTAGAGTGCCTTCGTGCAGTGGCCGAATGAACTTCAACAGGTCATTGACATCTGTGGGGGGCAGGGGACCCCACTGAGCATCCCTCCCCCACCAAGCCCTGTTCACCAAGTGAGAAAAGCAAGGCAGAGCTTGGGCCAGGCGCGTGCAGGGACACACCAGAGTAAGAAGACAGAGCTGTCCCTGGGGCCATATATAGCCCCTGGACAAAGCCCCACAGGAAGCGCTGAGAAGCCCCAGTGCTAGGACCCAGAAGGCAGCATTCCGTGAGAGGCAAGAGCAGGGGGCTGGGGCTGCCACTCACCTCCAGCCCACATGTCAAAAGCCCGGGCCTCAATGAGCTCACCGCTGACCCCTGTGTCAAGAGAGGGACTTAGGACATGGCAGGAGGGTGGCAGCTAGGTACAGCCCTTCTGTAAGCTTTTCAGATGCCCCTCCCACCCCCCACCCCTGCCCCATATTCATCCCTGTGTTGGGACAGGCCCAGCCCACTCAAAACCATTGGGGCCTCAGTCTAGTAATTGAGGCTTCCCAAGAAGCACCCTGCAATGTCCTGGAACTTCCTCTTGTTTTTGTTCATCAGACCATTTCCTAGGCCTCCCTGGGAATCTGTGAAGGGGAGGGCCAGGGCAGACACCTGGACGCGTCCAGGTAGGGGCGTGGGGAAGGAAGGCAGCAGGTCACAGCATGGCTCCCTCCCACCTCTGACCCTACAGTCCAGGTGACTCACCATTCACCAGGGCGATGTTCAGCCCACGGCCCACGTTGTCCTTGACACTGCTCATTAGCCTAGCGGGGGGACAGGAGATCTGCTCTGCTCTCCCACACACGGCCCTCAGCCCTCAAAGACCCAGCGCCTCCCCAAGCCCATTCACCCCAAGGAAGCTCACATCTTGTCCTCGAGGCAGATCTTGGGCCCAATGACGTTGGCAGCTCCACTGACCATGCGGAAGGCCAGGTGTTCCTCAGGACATGGCTGGGGCAAGCCACACTTGTACTTCCTGGCCCGTGGCTCTGGGCGGGGACAGCAGGTGTGACCTGTGGGCCTGGGCCTGGGGTCACCTGAGATCTGAGAGGGGAAGGTCAGGACTGACCCACAGGTTGGAACGAGTGACCGCAGAGCAGGGAACCAGCATGGAGAGTGTGGCTTAGGCCAAGGTCAGGGACACTTCTACAGATACTCTGTGTCTCACTGGAGATGCAACAGGGACCCCAGGGAGAAAACTTTTCTGCTACTCGTGGAGGGAGAGGAAGGAGGTGGAGGGCTGGCCTGGGCACTGACAAGGCAAGGGTGGGGAGAGCTGGGCTTGGCGAGCCTGCACAGACAAGGCACACAGCACGGCAGGGAGAGGCAGGACACGAAAGATATGTGAGCTTAACCCCCACTACCTCAGAATGCGCCCTTGTCTGGGAATACAGCTGTTGCAGATATATTAGTGAAGATGACATCACAGGGGAATCGGTTGGGCCCTAGTGCAACATGTCTGATGTCCTTATAAGAAGAAAAGAGGCAAAGACGTGCAGAGGAGAGGCAGCCGCCAGCTGAGGAGAGGCAAGGAAGGACCCTCCCCTAAAGCTGCGGGAGGGAGCAGGCCCTGCCGGCTCCTTGGTTTCAGGTTTCTGGCTTCTAGAACTAGGAGAGAACCCATTTCTGTTGGTTAAGCCACCCAGTTTGTGGAACTTTGTTAGGGCAGTCATGGGAAATGGATAGATTTTGGTACCACAAAGTGGGGGTGCTTCTGTAACAGATACCTACAAATGTGGAAATGGCTTTGCAACTGGGTAATAAGTGGGTAGAGGCTGTAGACTTTTGAGACGTTAGAAAAGGCCTGAATTGCTTTTAAGAGACTGTTGGTAGATATATGTACAGTACAGGTGAGGGCTCATAGAGAAGAAAGCCAGAGACAAAGCTTAAATTATCTTAGACAATATCTATCTATGTATCTATGTATCTATCTATCTCCTCAGGCGAATGCTACCAGGAATCGGAGGGAATTGAAGAGCACTTGGAACTTTGGAGGAAAGGTCACCCTTGTTACAAGGTAGCAAAGAACTTGGCTGACTTGTGTGTTGCCTTTTGCAGACAGGATACAAGTGCTACTTTGTATATTTATCTTAGATTTCCCAGCAAAGTATTGAAGGCAATGCCTAGTTTCCCTTTGCCAGATATAGTAAAATGTGAGAGGAAAGAGACCAATTGAGAGAGCTGCCAAGCACCTAGGAATCAGAATCAGAAGCTTGAAACATTCTCCACCCCATCACGTTGCAAACCAATGACAGAGCGAGCGTCCTCCACAGAGAACACCCAGGGTGTGGCTGGCTGAGGTGCGGTATGTGACTAGAGATGACATTATCCAGGAAGCCCTGGGTGGGGGGCTCTTCTCCTCTCCCACCCTGCTGGCTTGTACAAGAAACCATCAAGGTTTCTGTCAGAAATTTACACCAGCAGAAACACTGCCAGCTTGGTTGACAGGGCCAAAGTGGCAAGGAAGGAGAGGGAGGGCCGCCTCTCCGCCCAGCAGGCCACAGAGTTCTTCCGTAGGCTTTGACACTCCTGGCGTTCACCCTGCTCGGTTTTGGATTTACATGGAACTGGTGACTCCATTTTCCTTCTAAGAGCTCCCTTTTGGAATGGGAACGTCTATGCGATGCCTGTCCCAGCACTGCATTCCAGATGTGCGGTGTGCAAGCAACCCCACTGGGCAGGGGTAGCTAGTCGGGGGAGGAGTGAAGAGAACAGAAATCCTGGAGGACCTGGGGCAGGCACGCGGGAGGAGCAGGGGGGTAACAGGGGCCTTACCTGCAGTCACAGCGCTCTCGGGGCCTGTGGGTACAAAGAGTGGTGTCTGTTAGCAGTGAGGCCTCCCAGGGCCTGCAGCATGCGGACGGGCAGGCAGCCCGGGGCAGGGCTTAGGCCAGGCTAATGCTGCTATGTGGCCTGCTCGAGCCTACATGCTGTTCAGATGCAGAAGTCCCCGTTCAGGGAAAGGGGGGCTGGATTTGTGAAGCATCGCAGTAACAAAGTGTAGAGGCTCCTCCTCGCTTGGGTCAAAGGCCAGCACAAAGCCTGCAAGGGGAAACTAAGGCACCGTCCCCTGTGCTCCATGGAAGCCCCCGCCCCGCACTCTGACCCTACGGAATTCCCCGGGGGGCACCGAACTATCAGTAGTGGGTACTGGCTTTCCCGGCTGCAGCGACTGGGAGGTGGTGGGAGGACTATGCTTGATGCCAGGAGACAGGCGGAGGGCAGCAGGAGGCAGCCTGCCAGGGACTAATAGAGAACCCAAGCCAACCCAGCCCAGCCCTGAGCCTCAGCCAGAGGCCCAGGAGGCCACTCTGCTGGCCTCCGCAGCGGGGCAAGGAAGGGGCCCACACTCACTGGTGAAGAGTTGCTGGATGCGAGGAAAGCCACTGGCAGGCCCACCCAGGAGGATGCTGCCTATGATCCAAGTGAGACCCACAGTGACGACTAGGGCCACAATGCGCAGGGGGCCTGGAGGCGGGACAGACATGGGCAAGCCCACCTCAGAGGCTGGGGAATTCCACAGTGACCCCATGGCCTCTGCTAACCGGATCTTCTCTACCATTTGGGAAGGGACTAGGGGCCAGCAAGGTGGGACCAGCTGTCACACTGTGGGCCTGGGAGGCAGAGCTCTGAGAGACGGGAGGAAGAACTGAGTCAAACTCCACACTGGGGGCCGGCGCTGTGGCGTAGCACATAAAGCCGCCGTCCACAAGTGCTGGTATCCCATATGGGCGCCGGTTCGAGACCTGGCTGTTCCACTTCCGATCTGGCTCTCTGCTGTGGCCTGGGAAAGCAGTAGAAGATGGCCCAAGTCCTTGGGCCCCTGTACCCACGTGGGAGACCTGGAAGAAGCTCCTGGCTTCTGGCTTCGGATCAGTGCAGCTCCAGCCATTGTGGCCAATTGTGGAGTGAACCAGCAGATGGAAGACCTCTCTCTCTCTCTCTCTCTCTCTGCCTCTCCTATCTCTGTGTAACTCTTTCAAATAAATAAATCTTTAAAAAAAAAAACAACTCCACAGCTGCCATGTTTACTTCTCCCTGGCAGGTTTGCAGCAGTTTTCCAGAGCTCACTGCTTGGGAGGGGCTCCAGCGGCCCACAGGCACTCCTCAACTTCCTACCTGCAGTGTCTCATCCACCTGCCTTTGTTTTCTTTCCTCCTGTTCCCATTGTATGTCCTTGTAAGCCATTTCTTTCAAAAATAGGCTGTTCTGGAATCTTTTTTGATGTTTATTTTCATCTACTTGAAAGGCAGAGTGAAAGAGAAAGAGACACAGATTTTCCATCCACAAACGCTTGAGTCATCATCTACTGCCTCCAAGTCACATTAGCAGGAAGCCGGATCAGAAGCAGAGTAGTCAGGACTCAAACTGGCATGCCAATATGAGGTGCAATCATCCCAAGTGGTGGCTTAACCCACTGCACCACAACACCCACTCCTGTAATCCTTTTTTTAAGACTAGTGCCTTTTCCTGCTGTGAGCTGGATCCTAAGATCTCCTCCATGGCAGAATTCTTGTAACAGTCTATTTTGTTCCTTCTCCTCAATTTTCAACATCTGTCAGGTGTTTGATGCACTGGTTAAGATGCTTCATTGGGGACTGGCACTGTGGCGCACTGGGTTAATGCCCTGGCCTAAAGCACCAGCATCCCATATGGGCACCAGTTCTAGTCCTGGCTGCTCCTCTTCCGATCCAGATCTCTGCTATGGACTGGGATAGCAGTGGAAGATGGCCCAAGTGCTTGGGCCCCTGCACCCACGTGGGAGACCCAGAAGAAGCTCCTGGCTTCGGATCGGCCCAGCTCTGGCCATCTGGGGAGTGAACCATCAGATGGAAGACCCCCCCACTCTGTAACTCTGACTTTCAAATACATAAATAAATCTTTAAAAATAATAAAAAGATATGCGGCCCATATCAGAGTGCCTGGGTTCAAGTCCCACCTGCACTTCTGATCCAATTTCTAGCTACTGCACTCCCTGGTAAGCAGCAGAAGATGGCCCCGGTACTTGGGTCCTTGCTAACCCCGTAGGAGACCTGGATGGAGTTCCGGCTCCTGGCTTCAACCTGGTCCAGCCCTGGATGTTGTGGGCATTTGAGAAGTGCACCAGCAGATGGAAGACAAATCTCTGACTTTTGGATAAAATGAAAATAAACACTTTAAACCAAGTAACACTAACTTAAAAAAAAAAAAAAAAGGAAGCAAAGAACAAACTACATCCTCTCTCTCTCCTGGAGCCTCAGCTCATTTTCCAAAAGAGCGCCTGGCCTGACAACTGAGTTGGGAGCAACTGACTATACGAATCCTCATCTCAAAGTTGGGGAGCTGAAGTCCTCAGAGATGAGAGGGTTAACTCAAGGTCACCGAATGAGTGTGCCCGTAGAGTCCATTTCCAAAACCGAACCCAGCGGGCCACCCGGGGCCTGTCCAGACACAGGATGTCGGGACACCTGGGCCTCCCTCCGGTTCACTGTGGAAGCCACCCACCTGCCAACCTCATGTCCACTTCTCCCGTTGGGTTGGGACCGCCGGCAGGTGCACTGTTTGGGGACCGTGCGCGCTGGGGGGAAGAAAGCCGAAGAGCAGGTTTGGGTGGAGGTCAGGGGCAAGCCCGTGCCATCTGCGTTCCGACTTGTTCTTCCGACTAACCACCCGGCCAGGCCGAGCTCCTCGGAAACGCGGGGAGAAGCCCTGCGTGGCCAGGAGGGGTCCCGGGAAGCCATCAGCTCACAATCATGCCCACCGGAACCTCCAGAGAAGGGACGTGGAACCGATTCGCCCCTCCTGCGGGAGGCCCCGAGCTCCAGCCATTCTTCCAGGCCACAGGGATGGAGCCCCGGGCGGGCCGCCGGGGACTTGCCTGGCTGTGGAGAGACGCGGGCTCGGTCAGGGACGGGTGCCCTGTCCAGCGGGCCACCCCGCTATTCCGCTTGGCGACGGATGGCCAGCGAGCTGCGCAGAGCGGCCCCACAGGCCCGGCAATGGCGGCCGGGGGCGGGGCCACAGCCCGCTCCCCCGCCCCGCCCCCGGTCGTCAGCGGGGGCCGCGCGCCGGCCTCGGGGGCCCCTCACAGGCCCCACCTTCAGGCCCGCGCGCACCGTTTTTCGGGCCTAGAGGAGGGGTCTATGCTGGCCCCGCCCCGGAAGTCTCTCTGGCATTCCAGGGTGGAGGGAGGTCCCGCCTCGCCAGGTAGGATTACTGAGGCAGATGGGTCTGGGAAGATACTTAGAAAATGCTCCGGAGTTGATATAGGTGCCTTTTAGGAACACGCAGTTGCAGAAGCGTGTATGGGGAAAAACTGCAGAATCTCACGAGCCCGAACCAACCTGGGGAAGGCTTTGGCTGCTTTCCTCCCAGTATTTTTAGAAGCACGTTCCCACTGTCTCACGTAGCACTCTTGCAATGGGAGGGGCCATGTGGAGGGCACCCACCCCAAGCACAGAGGAATAAAGTGTGAGGGCTCCCGGTTTCATTTTTTAAAAATGTATTTGAAAGGCAGAGCAGCAGAGAGAGAGAGAGAAAGAGAGAGAGAGAGATCTGTCCTCTGATTAACTCCCCAGATGGCTGCACCGACCAGGGCTGGGCTGGGCCAGGCCAAAGCCAGGAGCCGCAAACTTCATTCCTCGTGGATTGCAGGGATGCAAGCACTTGGGCCATCTTCCGCTGCTTTCCCGTGTGCGTTAGCAGGGAGTTGGATCGGCAGTGGAGCAGCCACGGCTCGAGCTGGTGTTCATATGGGATGCCGGTAGTGCTGGCTCCACCCCAGTTTCATCTTTACATAAGTGTATTTCTGCCAGAAAACAAACCTGGGGGTACGCATTCTGGCACTGGCACTGTGGTATAGCGGGTAAACCTGTTGTCTGCAGCACTGGCATCCCATATGGGCAGTAGGTAGGGTCCTGGCTGCTCCTCTTCCAATCCAGGTCCCTACTAATGGCCTGGGAAAGTGGTGGAAGATGGCCCAAGTCCTTGGGTCCCTCCTCTATCCCACCATTCTACCTTTCAAACAAATAAATAAACCTTAAAAAAAAGAAAACAAATCTGACATTCTGCTTCAGGCTTTTTGTTGGTCAGAGCTGGGGTCAAGCTCACTGCCCTCTGCAGGAAGCTCCCTGATGACTGCACCAAGTGACTCGGATCACCCATCTTCCTGGGACACTTGAGGCCACCCTGTCAGTCGGACCCATCTGTCTGTGGGGCAGCAGCAGGGCAGTTTGGGAATCCCAAATACACCCCTGCCCTTTGACCCCCAGACCCCACTTATGGGAAGCCCTGTAAGGAGATACAGAGAAAGTTTCAAGAGCCTGACACAACAGAGCTCTGGTTAGAATCCAGTAGTTTCTACATACTCTCAAATGTACTTCTAACACCACTGAGATTCTCATCCAGGCCCTGTGTACCTTAGTGAGTAGACTTGCACAGGTTCCTTGTTTTTTTTTTTTTTTTCTGGGACTTTTCTGTTTTTTAATTTGAAATGCAGAAAGAGACAGAGACAGAGACAGAGAGAGAGAGAAATTTCCCAATTTCCCATCCACTGGTTCACTCCCCAAATGTGCCCACAACTGCCAGGACTAGGCCAGGCTGAAACCAGGAGCTGGGAACTCCACACAGGTTCCCCACGTAAGTGGTAGGAACTCAACCAATTGAGCCTTCACCTGCTGTCTCCCAAGGTGCACATCCGCAGGAAGTTGGAATCAAGACTGAAGCTGCGACTCCAATGTGACAGACAGCTCTAGACTTTCTGTTAGTTTTCTGGAGAAATAAAAATCCACACACTCAAATAAAACTTGTAGAAGCACCTGCTTGGGACAAAGCATATGAAGTAAAAGAGAAGGTGAAACTGAGTCCTTAGCAAAGAGAACCTTTTTAAGATGTATTTATTTATTTGAAAGGTGGAGTTACAGAGGCAGAGAGAGAGAGTGAATATGTAGAGACAGACATCTTCCACCTGCTGGTTCACTCCCCAAATGGCCACAATGGCTGGAACTGGGCCAATCTGAAGCCAGGAGCCAAGAGCTTCTTCCTGGTCTCCCACACGGGTGCAGGGGCCTAAGGACTTGGGCATCTTCTACTGCTTTCCCAGGCCATAGCAGAGCTGGATCAGAAGTGGAGCAGCCAGGACTCAAACTGCCACCCATATGGGATGCCGGAACTGTAGGCAGTGGCTTTACCTGTTACACCACAGTGCTGGCCCCAGAGAACCTTTCAGTCCATGGTCACAAGGATCCTGAGGTCTGGCAAGGAGACAATGACACTGAGTGCAGATTTACGTGGTGACACACACACCACTAGATAGCATGTATGCATCAGGCAACATACACACAGTAATGTGTGTGACTGCCTAACTCTGCCCTCAGTGTCATTGCTCCATGCCCAGGCCTCACTTTAGTGATCTTTTAAAAATGTTTAACTGGGGGCTGGTGCTGTGGTGTAGTAGGTTAAGCCTCCGCCTGAGGCACTGGCATCCCATATGGGTGCCAGATCTAGTCTTGACTGTTCCTCTTCTGATCCAGCTCTCTAATGTGGCCTGGGAAAGCAGTAGAAGATGACCCAAATGCTTGGGCCCCTGCACCCACATGGGAGACCTGGAGGAAGCTCCTGGCTCCTGGCTTTGGATTGGCCCAGCCCCAGCCATTGTGGCCATTTGGGGAGTGACCCAGGGATGGAAGACCTTTCTCTGTCTCTCCTGCTGTCTGTCTGTAACTCTACCGCTCAAATAAATAAATAAAATCTTTAAAATACATGTATCATTACTTGGTGTTGGGACCATTCATGAGCCTCTTTACTATACTAGCTATTTTGACATGTCTGTTGTCAACTGCAGACCCTACCAACTGTAGAATAGCAGAAGTCACTCCTTTAATTGGCCTGTCCCCTCTCCCTTTCCTCACTCCCGCCCCTAGTCTAATAATCTTTTAAGAAATTGTTTATTTCTGAGCTGCACGCGTGTGCGCGCACACACACAAAAAACACACACAGTGCTCCCATCACTGGTTACTCCCCAAATGCCCACAATGGTCAAAGCCAACAGCTGGAAACTCAGTCTGCGTCTCCCACATGGGTGGCAGGGACCCAACTACTTGAACTGTTTCCCAGGGTCTACATCAGGAAACTGGAATCAAGAGTGGAGCTGGGTCTTGATAGGTGATTCCAGCATCTGACTTGCCGGGCCAAATGACTACTCCCTAGCAGTCTTAATTGCCTTATTTTTGGTGCTAGAATTGGGCAACACTTCATTTCATAAGCTAGAAATTAAGTGTTCCAATGAGCCCAGTAGAAGAGGTTGGTATTATTGGTATTATAGACAGATAAGGATCGAAGAAAGCAGGAACAAAGTTGGAACCAGGAGACAGAACAATAGAAAAATAGCTGATTGATTAACATGGGATTGCTTCAGATTTGCATTAAACCAGTTCATCTACTTTTTTTTTAACAAAGGTAGAGCTTCAGAGAGGCAGAAAGAAAGAGATAGAGGGAGAGAGAGAGGTCTTCCACTTGCTGGTTCACTCCCCAAATGTCCACAATGGCCAGAGTGGGGCCGATCTGAAGCCAGGAGCAAGGAGCTTCCTTAGGGTCTCCCATGCGGGTGCAGGGGCCCAAGGACTTGGCTCTCTTCCACTGCTTTCCCAGGCCACAGCAGAGAGCTGGATTGGAAGTGGAGCAGCCGGGTCTTGAACCAGTGCCCATGTGGGATGCTGGCACTGCAGACGGCAGCTTAACCTGGTACACCACAGCACTGGCCCCTCATCTACTTTTTTAAAAAAATTTATTTTTATTTTAAAGACAGAGAGGCAAAGGCAGAGAGAGAGAGAGAGAGAGAGAGAGAGAGAGAGAGAGAGAAATGTTTCATCCTCTGGTTCACTCCTCAAATGGCCACTATGGCTGGGGCTGGGGCTGGGGCTGGGCCAGGCTGAAGCCAGAACCACGAGTTTTATCTGGGTCTCCCATATGGATGCAGGGGCCCAAGCACTTGGAACATCATCTGCTGCTTTCCCAGGTGCATTACCAGGGAGTTGGATAGGGAGTGGGGCAGCAGGGACTTGAATTGGGGCCCACATAGGATGCTGGCACTGCAGGCTGCAGCTTAACCCAATATACCATAACGCTGGCCTCTTCTTTTTTCTTTTTTTTTTAAATTTAGTTCATTGAATTTGGCTGTTATCACTTTTAAAAAATTAAATCTATTTATTTGAAAGGCAGAGAAAGAGAGAGAGATCGATTTTCCACCCACTGGCATATTCCTCAAATGGCCACAACAGCTGGGGCTGGGCCATGGCAAAAGGAACTCCATCCAGGTCTCTCATGTGGGTGGCAGGGGCCCAAGCACTTGAGCCATCATCTGTTGCTTTCTCAGGCACATTTAGGAGAAAGCTGGATTGGAAATGGAGTGGCTGGGAGTAGAACTGGCACCCACATATGGGACAGCATTATGCAAGCTGTGGTTTAACCTGCTGTGCCACTTCACTAGCCCTGTATCTGGGCAATGTGAGCTCTGGTTCAGTGCAATTCCAGGTTCACTCTCAACCTGCCAGTGTAGCCACTTGGGGCTTCAGGATGTGATTTCTAGCCCTTTTGCTTCATAAGGCTGTCAAGGACAGGTGAAATGTATCAGCAGATCCCACTTTTCTCTGAAAATATGACGTGGTAAATTTTTTTTTCCAAAAAGATCTATTGATTTGAAAGTCAGAGTTACACAGAGAGAGGGAAGAGGAGAGAGAGAGAGAGAGAAAGGGTTCACTCTCCAAATGGCCACAATAGCTGGGGGCTGGGCCAGGTGAAAGCCAGCATCCATGAACTTCTGCATCCAGGAACTTCTTATAGGTCTCCCATGTGGGTGCAGAGGCCCAAGGACTTGGGGCATCTTTATTGCTTTCCCAGGGCATTAGCAAGGAACTGGATCAGAAGTGGAGCAGCTAGGCCTCGAACCAGCGCCCATATGGGATGCCAGCACCACCGACAATAGCTTAACCTGCTGTGCCACAATGTTGGCCCCTGACTTCGTACATGCTTACTATCCTTTCACAAAGCCAGAGTTCAGTTGACTCTTGG